CTCGAACGGGTAATTAAAATCCTGCTGAGAAATCAGACCCTCCGAACCCCGAGAAAGGGAGCAAGGTAGCGGGAAACGGGGGATGGACTTGCCAAGTTGAACAAGTGCGTGAAATAAATGATCGAGAAAGAAAAAATTAGAAATGTAACTCCTGGGAACGGGCTTAATTGTGCGATGCTCCCCAGATGCAGGGAGACCCCTCTCTCCCGGAGACGGCTGCAGAGAGGCGATGGGGAAGCGGTTGTTTGGAAAACGACAGACAACTCGGGGATGGTTCCAGAGCGGAGATGCACATCTCCGCATCCCTCCCGCCCCTCTTCCCTTTCCTGGCGCTCGGCGGGCACCGGACACCCGGGCCAGACAAAGCTGTCCCAGAACGGTCCCGTTCTGAAAAAAAGACCCTCGGCGAGAGGCTGAGCGCTGCAACCAGCTCCCTCGACGGGACGGGGCGGCGCGGCCCGGGAGCAGGCAGGGACCCTGCCGGAGGAGCCGGCAGCGCGGCCACTCCTCTGTTTCATTACCGGGTCCCTCTGGAAAAGCAGCCTCCCCCCGCCCCTCCGCCGTCCCTTCACGTGGGCTGGAGCCTTTCCCGGATCGGTTTTTTGGTGGAAGGATTTTGAAGGCAAAAAAGGGCCGGGGTGGGGGCGGCGGGGCCGAGGCGGGGGAACTTGTGTGTGGAAACCGTAATGATTTACGACAAAAAGATAAACTCAGGAAACGTCAACTCTAGCGTCAGATTTGACTGGAGACAACACAAAGCTGTAGCTTTACTCGCAGTCCTTGGGGCACGGCCGGAGGCGGGGGGCAAGGTTTGGGGTATGGGGACATCCCACGGTGGCCCCGCTCTCGCCCCCGGAGGGACCCGCCGCCCTCCCCGGGCCACCGGGAGCGCGCCCGCCTCCGTGCCCGGCGCCCGGCTCCGCAGCGGCTACCGCGCCGTTTGGTACTTTCATAGGGGTTATTTTTGCGCTTTAGGTGTTTCTTCTTTTTTTTTTTTTTTTTTTTTCTTTCCTCTTTTGCTTTCAGCGTGAGTTTGTATTTTCCCGTGATTTTGGTTTGGGATTTTTGTTTGTTTGTTTTGCTGTTTAATTTTGGACAGGTTTTGCTGGGGGGTTTTTGGTCGTTTAAGTGGGTTTTAGCGTTTCAGAAGGAGTTGAGGAGTTTTTGTTCGCCGGGATTTTTTGCGTTTTCGGCGTTGAAGGGACCCGCACTTGGAGCACTCCCCGGCTTGCCCGCACTCAGGGCGGGGAATGGAGGGGATGGGCTGAGCACCAGCGCTCGGGGCAGCGGGACGACCCCCGTGGACCTTCAGGGGGCTGAAAGGGGAGAGGGGGGAACCGGGGTGCCAATGACGACCCCTCCGGGCGCATTAAGCGGGGAGGGGGGACACAGGACACTCCGGTGTGCGAAGCGGCGTCCGCCGCCGGCGCCCCCTATATAGGGAAGGGCGGGAGTGGGGCGGGGCGGCGGCGCCTTTGATGTCCCGCCGGCGGCCCCTTTCATCCCCCCCGGTCCCCCCCCCGAGCTCTTTGTGTGACTAAATTTGGCAGGAGCATGGAGGCGCGCCAGGGCGCCCACGTGTGCGCCGAGCTCCCAGCTGAGAGAGCCGGGGTTTTCTTCCGGGTAAGGAGACAGCGGGGGAGATCAAAGAGTTTGGGGAGCTGGAGCCGAAATGTGTAGTGGAAATGAAGTAAAATTAAATAAATAATAATAGAAAAGGGGGGGAAAAAATTCCTTCGCCCTGGACTCGTGCCAGTCAGAGGGAAGGGGGAGCAGGGGGAGCACGTAGTGATCGGGGGAGGGAGGGGGGGAAAAAAAAATATTCTCGCAAAAGCGGGTTGTAGTTGTTTTCTGAAAAGAAAAATAAAGAATAAAAAGCAGTCGACGAACCAACAGACCAACCCTTTTGTTTAAAGCCGCCGGCCTGTGGAGCCAAGCGGGCTCCGCCGGGAAGAGCCGCCCGACAGCGCGTCCAGGAGCGCGGCCGGGCCAGGGCTGCGCGCCGCGGGGCAAAACTCCTTCATCCTGCCGGACAAACAGCGGCCAAAATCCCCTTCTCCCGCCCGAGAGGCTGGTTCGGAGGGAGTCTTTCCAGGCAACCCCCCCGCGATTTTTTCTCCCCCTGGGAAGCAGTGTGGAGGGTGGTCCCCCGCGGGGTGGGTGCGCTGCTTTCCGAGCGGTGCGGGGCTGGCACAGCCCCGGCGCGCCCGGCAATCCCCGGGGCCCGCTGCCACCCTGCTCACCCTGCCCCCCCGGGCCTGCGGGGATGGGCACCCGGCTCATGCTGCTCCCTCAGCACTGCGAAGCACAACAAAGAATGTTAGGTTTTAAAATTTCTCAAATCGAGCCTTTTCGGTGCCTTTTCAAGGCAATGGGACTGAATCGTGCATGTTCCCCTGGTCTGCGTTTGCCACCCCATTTAGATAACGTCCGTGATTTATGTGCAAGTTAAATATATAGGCTGAATTCCCAAATTCCTTCTGAAGCAAATAAATCCTCCTCCTTCAGGACATGGGGTGAGGAGGGCCAGAGCAGGGATGTGATGATTAGCCCTGGTTCTGCAGAGTTATCGCTGTGGTGTCCCGCACATGCTGCTGCTACACAGCATCACTGGGGAGCCAGCCCTGGGCTGCCTCAGCTTGTATGGATGTGTTTGGAAATATGGACCTGTTCTGTGCCTCTAAAAAAAGAGTAATACTTCTAAGGCTCTTTTTTACCTTGTGAGAATAAATGCATTGCTGTGTGTAAAGAGACTCTCCTCTTCTGATGAATGCCATAGGGAAAGCTGTAAATAACAGATCAGAATTTTTGGGGGGGTAGAACCCAGTGTTCTCCCTCACCCTTGTGTTTTACCAGGCAGACAGTCAATTTGGTGATGCAGACCCTTTCCTGTGCTTTTACAAATACAGTGACCAGATACCTGGCATGCCTTTGGATTTGGTTCCAGGTTTGGACTGCAGACACTGGCTCACACTCCATGGCCTGTGTCCAGGTGCTTATCAGTGTGGCTCAGCTGCTGTGGCCTCCAGATGATGCTGATGCCAGTTCCTGGTAGCCTTGAGGGAACTTAGGTGTGGTGTGGAGGGGAATTCTCCTTGCACGTATGATCATTTCTGTCATGGTGGC